AGTTCAAAGTGTACAAATCATGTAAATGTTCACAAATTATATGCAGTAGAGTACATTAATACAGTATGTTCCCTAGACTATCCATTTCAATTTCGAATTTTTTAAAGCTGTTAAATAAACTTTATAATGAATTAGGTGAATAAAAAACATAATTTGATTTATAGTTGTAACGGAAAATCATCGTTTGTAAAGTGAAAGGCATAGAGTCTATGTGAAATGGTCATTGGTCAATTATGAAACCAGCCTCTTTCATAATTTGGTTTTCTTTTAACATTAATTTTAGATTTTCTATAAAATGATATTCCAGGGCCCAAAAGGTTATATACAGGGTGTCCCACATCATATTAGACCGAGAACGGGTCTAAATTACGATTTTCGGGACTAATTAGAAAATTTCATTAGAATGAATCATTTTGAAAAATAACATAAGGCTTATATAAGAATTTTCTTGCGGAAAATGATAAGTTTTTCGAGTATTAAGAGTTTATTTTGGTTGGAGATAATCTAATATGATATGGGACGCTCTGTAGCATAAATATGTGTAGTACACCTGCATTATGGAAACAGTACAACAAAATGGCCGTTTTACACTTTTTTCTAGTAAATTCCCCTCTAATATATATTCTTTTCTTTATGATTTTACCCCGTCCTATAATCTTATAAAAAATGTTACTAACCCTGCTAAAATTACAATAACTTTTACCTCTAAGATTAAACAAATTTCTCATTAATTTATTTATTTATCTATTAACATTTAAAAAACTATTATGGATTGAGCTTTATAAATTCGTACATATTATACATATCATATTCCTATTCCCTGATAATATACTTCTGGAGAATAATTTTGGTTTCCTTCTATTATTATTATTGATCTTTTAGTAAATAATGCTTCTTAATTAGCATACTATAATTGTTCTTACAGGCTAGACTGCAACAATAATTTAGTTTTTTTTGGGCCGCTTAAAAAACGGCATTTAAATACTGTTGTCCGAAATTGAGGCAAACCTCTTTGTGTGCATCAACATTCTTTCCAGTTAGACCAACCTGTCGGTGGTCGTTGATGACCTGTATCTGTACCGAAAAACAACCGAATGGATCAGTTATATATGGATCGGATAGCGTATGGATTTTTTCTTTTTACTAACACTGATAACTTTATATTAAAGATTAAGAGAAATTAATTCACTTCTTATTAACGTTGAATTGAACATTTAATTGAGTTATATATATTGAAACATGTGAGGGATGATTAATATTTAGAGAGATAAATCATCACAAATGTTATTTTTTTTTCAACGTTCAATTAAATGTGCAATTAAACATTAATTAGATGTGAATTAATACTATAAACTGCATACTAAACTTGAAAATATTCTGCATTCAAGTAGATATATAAATCCCAATATATGTAGGATAGATGTTTTGGATAAACGGTTTGTATAATTTTTCTTAGGTTTCATATTCGTCCTGTGGTACAGTACTTATTCTTTTCATAAATTTTTTAATTAATTAATCTCAGTTATTTTATCTCAATTAAACTAATATATATATATATAAAATAATCAAAATGTATTCTCGAATAAACAAGCAAAGCACATTGAATTTATTAAATTTGTAACTCGACTGTGTAGCCCCTAGCGGTTTCTTTTCAACCTAAGTTGTTTTAGCGCTTTAATCAGCTTTTTTCGTGAATTTTTATGTATGAATTTTGCACACTTCAAGAATCAAGATTGATTACAATTATATAGAAAATAGACATTGCATTTATGATGATGATATATTTATTCATGAACATGGGTAGATTAAAATATTAATCATAACAACAATAATTTCTACTGATCCCTTCGGGATCCCAAAAATCAAGAATACGATTAGTGCTAACAGCGATTCTACCATGATGCAATTAAGGAACTCAAAAATATTTGAGCTTGGAAAATATTAACAAACCGTACTCATAAAGTTTTAATTAACTAATTTCAATAATTTAATCTCAAATACACCACGAAAATATAAAATAATTGATTTAAGTGTATATTTACTTAAAAACCCAAGGCACAGCGAATTTATTAAATTCATAACTTGAATGAAATGGCACCTAGTGGTGTCTTTTTAAACTATAAGTTGTTTAAGCGCACTAGTCAGCTTTTTTCGTGGATTTTGATGTATGAATTTTGCGCATTTCAAAAATCAAGATTGATTAAAATTATATAGAAAATAGATATCGCATTTATGATGATGAGATATTTATTCAAAGTAAGGAGTTTGAAACTAACAAAGTACAAATCTTCATTTTGAATGTTATATCTCTTCTAATCTTCAAGAATTCATTTCATATTTTTATTTTTGTTGCAAGATATCATTTGATGCTTTACAGATGGTTTATATATTGTTGGAATGCGAAGGGGGTCTCAATTATTTGTTGTGGAAAGGTTATTTTGTAAATCTTGAAAAAAAAAGATTGAAAAGGGAACGTTTATCTCTCACTTAAAGCTCTTTAATTTCTAATCCTCATATTTTATGTTCACCTTATCAGAAATGTTAACAACCATGGTACTATTATCCATATCCCAGTCTAGAGCTACCGGAGGAACTAAACCTGGAATAGGCAGAAGTGAAGTCGGACATTAAAGGTCGTCTTTCAATTCACAGAATTATTTACAATTTATGTACTGACAGTGCAGAAGTTAATGAAGTTATTTTAAAAACCAGTTTCTCACATAGCATGACGATTGTTTGAATAGCGATGTTAAGGTTGAGATTGGGTTTTCTACACTGATGTATTAAAAGAATTAATAAAAGTTTTTTTTGCATATGCAGGAAACCCCAAATTTAAGAAAATATACACAGGGTGTCCCACGAAACATGGCAGGTGGTGAAAAGCTTAAAATGTCTTCTTCCACAGTTTGTTTAGTTGTTTGAACCCCAAGAGAATAATAAAAAAAATTTAGTATAGCAAAATTGATTTCAAAATAAAATATATTCGAGTAGAAGGTTTTTAAAACTAAACTGCAAAAAGTCTATAATATCTAATACAGTATATGGAAGAAGACAGTCAAAACTATTCCCAAACTGTCATGTTTCGTGGGACACAATGTATAAACTGTCATGTTTCGTGGGACACAATGTATAAACTGTCATGTTTCGTGGGACACAATGTATAAACTGTCATGTTTCGTGGGACACAATGTATAAACTGTCATGTTTCGTGGGACACAATGTATAAACTGTCATGTTTCGTGGGACACAATGTATAAACTGTCATGTTTCGTGGGACACAATGTATAAACTGTCATGTTTCGTGGGACACAATGTATAAACTGTCATGTTTCGTGGGACACAATGTATAAATTGAACAAAATTCCTGCAGTCGTCTCTAAAGCAATCGGTTTATCCAATAGTCTAACACGCTTTCCACGAAATCATTCAGAGGCCGAATTTAAATAAATTAAGCCGCGGCTTACATTTAAGACACGGCTCAAATATGTTGGATCCACTTAAAATTGTATTCAATGTTTCAAGATTTATTCCGGCGATAAATTAAAACCGGTTTTTGGCGGATTTGACACTCGGTTGAAATTCATTAAATTCGGACTCGCGGGTAAAAGGTAATTAAAAATTGCGTTGAAAGTCCTTTAACTTCTCATGTTTCTAGGGTGTTCGTGAAGAAGAATTGACCTAAATATTTGTATTCTACCTTTAACCAGGATATTTATAGATTTGTTGTTGCAACGGTATTCCCCTGAGTCCTTCAGCTTAATCTCATCTGAAACAAATCCTTTCAGTCCATAGGCCGGAACTTTTAAATGACTTGAATGCGTTTAACCCTATCACGATTGGGGGAGGGGGGGGTTCCCCCCCTTTCATATTAGACAAAAATGGTTAACTCCTTTAAATTTCTGAAAATTACCGGTTTATCTTTCAACGAGGAGAAAATGTGGTTAAATAACTTTTCTATATATTCAAAATATATATATAATATATATTCAAAAGTTTCGACTTCAGTTTTAAAATCTAATTTTGAACAACTCTTTATTAATTCTTTAATAAGATTATAAAAAAAGTCTAAACTTTAAAATATAATTAAAAATTATAAATGAAAACAAGATGAATTGAACATTATGCAGTTTGTGTTGTAAATCACATTGACTCTGTACATTTTTTACTAAAAACCCAGAGATAAGAGCGTAAAGAGGTGTAACAAAGGCTAGAATATGCGATATTTTACTAAAAGACCAGAGATAAGAGCGTAAAGAGGTGTATTTTCCACAACAGGTCCTATTGTGTACAACTGGAGTACACAATCAATAAACAGACGTCTGTTAAGTATACTTTGAATACAAAATACAAAACCAATAGACTAAATTCATAATTAAATGTTTTACTTAAAAGTTTGAGTATTTCTTTAAAAATTGTAAAATTGAATGGGAATTTTATGCAATATCAAGTGGCCGTGGCAGTCAAAAACCTAGGTGGAGCTTATGAGCAAACTGTATATATCTAGTCTGTAATAAAATCTAACCTAGCAAAAGTTTGTTTATAAATGAACTGGGCCCCTGATGGATATGTTGTTTGAATTGTACACCATGATCACTACTCCAAACCTAAAATGTTATATATACACTTTGCTTGTATATCTGTGTCTGTTGTTTTTGCGTCCAACAAATCTGAAAACAACTGAACTGATCGAGCCCTCATTGACCCCAGGAAGGTTTATGGATGTGCGGAATTTAATTTTTTCAAAATCCACAAAAAAAATTGTTATATCTGCGAAATTTTTTTATTAAATTGTTAGCTAATTTAAGAAGAAAAAATGCATATTTTTAAACATAAAGGGACTCATTTTAATCCAAGGGTACATGTTTAACAGATACTGTTGTGAATCTAACATGTAACTAAATGTAGGGTCCGTTTGAATTTACGAAGACAACTTAAAAAAAATGAAAAGTTGTAAGCCGAATTTAATCAATTAAATACTTTTTTTTCAACACGAAAAAAGTCATTTTTAATTTTTTTTACAAGATTAACTATGGCGTTTATAACTTAATTTCAAACCATGCTTTTTAAAAATATTTATAGGAGGCTAATATTACAGAAAAATATGGACTAACCTCTTTTTCCGAATGTAATCCATGGCCTCCACAAAATAAGAAAAGGGATTGTTTTTCATAAACATGAATGTCTCCTCCAGCCCTAAAATTAAGGAGGAAATGAGAATATTTTATTTAAAATAAATTAAAGGTTTTATCTAATATTTGTTTGTTATTGATGAAAACGGACCAGAGATTCAATATTATATAAATTGCTTCCCACGGGTAAATGTGATAATAAATACTGTATCGTAATTAAACTAATACCCGGCCTTAACATAATCAACTAATATTTTATAAAACGGTATATTTTTATATTAATTTTTACAGTCTGAAATATAGAGTCTAGAATCTAGAATATTAGGAACTAGGATCTAGGATCTAGGATCTAGAATCTAGAATCTAGGATCTAGGATCTAGAATCTAGGATCTAGAATCTAGATAGAATCTAGAACCTAGGATCTAGAATCTAGAATCTAGGATCTAGAATTTAGAATCTAGAATCTACCATCTAGAATTTAAAGGAATCTAAATTTTCGAAAATAGAAGCTAAAGCATAAAATATGTATGTTTAATGAAAATCAGGTTCTTTCAAGCATTTAACAATAATCTTTAGGTCTTACGTTTAATCTTTAAAGCTAAAGTAAATACTTTTCATCCCGAAAAAGCATTTAAGATTATTTGATGGGTATTGTGAAATCCTTAAGTCAAAAAACATAAAAAGCTCTAAACTTTTAAATTAGAAAATATTAAAACCGTGCAATACTTTTGCATGGGAAGTAGAACTAATCTAATTCGGTTCAGAGTAAGTTTATGTCAGTTTTAAAAATTTGTTTTTTGTTTGTTTTTATAAATAAATAGGTGCCCAAAAGATGGTAAAAGAATGATACAACAAATGGGATTTTACCTAATTTGTTGAATTGGACAGGTTTTTTGCTCTGAGTTGCCATTACAGTAGCCCAGGAGATTTTGAACAGGCGGAAAATAATCTAAAAATTACTTTCTTTTGTACTAAGCTAAATTATATAATTTTATAAATGAGCCAGCACATATCTGATTAAATATCATTGCAAATGCAGTGTATACAACTCCACAATATAAAAGTTCCTACAAGCAAATGTGTTTAGCTAAAAAAAGGTGTCTTGCGCATTTGTTGCTTAGGAAACAATGGAGCAATTTTAAGAATTAAACAATTTTCAAGCTAGACAAACAACGACTTTATTTTTTACACAAGTTTTGACATTCAAAAGAGGCGTCATAAGGTTCCCTCCTCTCTGTTGCGCCAATGAAAGGTAGTATTAAAATGACCTACCTACAGCTGGCACAATAAGCCGGTCACTTCGACCTAAATACTCTGAACCATTGATCTTGTTTAACCCAGAACACTAAACAGACATCAATTAAAATATCATAAAAATTTATGTAAATCAGAATAAATTCCCAAATTAACTATTTTTAATAACACTGTTATTTTGGTTTGCAATGTTTTAAAGTTTTAGACAGAAATTCTCTCTTTACCGAGATTAGATTAGATTTAATTATATTTATTTTATTAAAATATATTCTAAAAAGGCGAGAACCTTCGAGATATAGATAACATTTGAATCAAAAACTTTATAGCATGTCGTGCCAAAATAATTTGTGTTATAGGTAATTTTATGAAACGTTTGTGTAATTGTTTTATTTCAATAGCTATTCTAGATCAAATAAGCTTTGAAACAAAGCAGAAGTCAATTTTATTTTCATTTCAATTGAAAAGAAATGTATTTTGGATGTATTCTAAATATTTTGGAGAAAATCCGGGAACCAATAAAAACTTTATAGCACACGTGCTATAATGTACATCTAATCTATCTTGATAGCACGATGGTTACTTTATAGCACGTTCATTATGGAATTCACGATGAAGTGAGGAAGAATGATAAAGTACACAATAGTTTTCAAAAAAAACCTAGCTACAGTGCCCGGCGTTACCCGTGCAATTAAAAGTGCCGTTCACTTATTTGGGTAATTTCATGGTAAATAAAATAGTTTATAGCAGATATTCATTGGTATTAGTCTTTCTTTTTAAAGATATCTATGACCAAAGAAATATCTGATTTATTGCTTTATAGAATTGCAGCTCAAAGTACGCGTCCTTTCATACGTTTTTTATAGCCAAAAAAAAATCTAAAACTATCACATTTCAATGACATCATGTATCAGTCCTTAAAATAAAAATATATAAGCTTTTCGATTTGAAAATTAGCAAAAAATTTACGTTTTGTTGATGTTCCAACATGATTTAATATATACTGCAGCTTAATCTAATATTTAAAATTTTTTAAAAGCCATGGCTATTGACTATTACAAAAAGCATCAAACACTGTCAATGCAAAGGCACCGTACCTTTGAGCTGGAATTCTAAGCGATAAATCAGATATTTCTCTGGCCATAGTTATCTTCAAAACGTAAGACTAATACCAATGAATATCCTCTATCAACTATTTTATTTACCTTTGCACTGGAATTCTGAACGAAAATCGGCTTTTTCTCCGAAAAAATAGACTAATACGATTGAATAGCTAATAGGCTATTTAGTTTACCCTCAAATTATCCACATAACCGATTTTGTTAAAAAAATATAGATTTTGGATAAAATAAATTCTAATTTGTTAGCCTATTTTACCCATGGATTTTCTAATAAAAGTTTGGCTAACTACAGCTATAAGAGCTTTATTATATAGATATATATATATATAGATCGTACTTGGGAAACATAAAACTGTGGGAAAGAGTCAATCTTATTTGTATTTTATATTGTCACAAAGCAATACAACAACCAAATTATTAGTTTTTAATTTTGCTTTTATTCTTCACGAGAAGAAAGAATCTCAAGAACTGACGAGGTTCAACCCAGACCGAAATATGTTTTCAAAAAAATGTGGAACAACATTTATTTATTTTTCTCTACAGAGGTTTGGTCCATCACCGTCACCCAATTTTAAACTTATTAGGACTGTACAATACTGCACAATTACTGCATTTGATGGTTGGAATACAATGATAATCAGAAAACTCTGGAATATGAAGACGACTTTTAGACTCAAGTTATGACTTTAAATAGTCCAATATGCATGCGATACAGCAATTGTGCAGTATAAACAGACCCATTTAACTTAATTTGTGATTTAATAAGAAAAACTATTTAATTTGTAACATCATCAAATAGACACAAATATTGCAATAAAGCCGTCTTCCTTTTTCAGAGTTATCACTATATATAAGTTCAAAAATTAAGTTTTCAGGATAAAATATTGGATAATTTGATAATAAAGATCACCTGGATTGAAATTAGATTCCAACCAAGCTTCTCAGGCCAAATAGTGAACCTGCTTAAATAATAATAATAGTAATAATTATAATAATTTACATTGTTAGAGAGCATATCTTGAACTGGATAGTTACTGCAGAAAAGATAATCAGGACCTTAACAAAAACAAAAATTATTTTTGGAATTATTGTCACATCTTAGTCAGTGCTTTCACTCAAAGAAATGATTGGTTTTTTTTTTATTCGAGATTCTGAAAATTTGGTATTATGTGCTTTTTTAAGGGTGAAGAACCATAGATAAAGATAGATTGGGCATACAACGATATTTCTCATCTTAAAAGATAAAAATGTACGAAGATATTTGAAAGATATATATCACCTTTTAACCATCATTACCGGCCTTTCATTCCCCTAACAGAGGTAGATTAAGTTACTTAACGTCCCTTAGGACAGTTATGTAAAATAACCACCCGCTCGGGGAAAAAATCGCGCATTTTCATCTCAAAAGACGATAAAATTGTGTATAACAACTACTTTTTCTGGAAAGGAATTGTGTTTTTGCCACAAACTCAAATTTTTAAATCCCTATAGCTTTGAAATCTGATGATGTAAACCTTTGATATTTCAAATATAGACCATTTTAATTTGCAATATCAAAGGCCTACGAATTCGGGTTGCAAAGATAAAGGGATTAGAAAATCAAAGTTTGTGGCAAAAACCCGATTCCTTTGAGTGAAATTCCCTGAACTTCCCTGTCAAGTAGTTGTAAATAAACGATTATTTTTTTATTTATGTAAAGAACCTCTTTACTGCTGTTGTATCTACAGTCGGTTTAACCCATTTTACTCTATTCAACAATCTATACGCTAGAAATGTTAAATTTTGTAAGGAAAAGTGCAGTTTGCAATATTAAGTAATGCATTTCTAAAATGCATTTTTCTCCCCCTTAAAATATATTCTAAAAAGGCGAGAACCTTCGAGATATAGATAACATTTGAATCAAAAACTTTATAGCATGTCGTGCCAAAATAATTTGTGTTAAGATGATGATGATGATGATGATATTGATGATGATGATGATGTTGTTGATGATGTTGATGATGATGATGATGATGATGATGATGATGATGATATTAATGATGATGATGATGATGATATTAATGATGATGATGATGATGATATTAATGATGATGATGTTGATGATGATGATGATGATGATGATGATGATGATGATGATAATGATGATGATTACAATGATAATGATAATACCTTGACATAGTTCCCAAAGTATATTGTTAGGTGGTGGGTTGGATGTAAATTTGCAGAACACATCCTAAATAGTTCGATTACATAGATACAATATTACAATAATACAATAAGTTTTCAGATCAGATTTTTTTTTAAATTCCTGTTTTGAAAAAAAATTACCTTTTCAGTCTTACTGAACGAATGTTTCTATCGTAAAGTTTTGCATTCAAATAAAATATAAGCACGATAATGTAGTATTTAAGTTTGCTGAAGTTTATTGAAGTTTAATCGAAAGGAGAAATGTTAGGAAATGTTTGACTACCCCCCCCCCATCTCTTCTCTTTTCGTACTTTTTAGTTTACACATGATTTTTGAAGATTTTCTTTTTATATACATTTGGTTTTCTTTTATCCTTCTCCATGAAGGGGAGTGGTTACCTGTGGTTCCGAATACTTTAGAACATCAAACTCCGGGTTATCCAGGTACACAGTCAGCCGTGGTTTATCCTGTACCTAGATATTAAAAAAACTCAACTAGTCTCATTGTTTTCTAATCCTAATATTAAAGGCCGGTATGCAGAATCATGTTGCAAAGATATAAGGATGAATAAGATTGGTGGGATAGAAAAATCTTTACAGTAGCTGTAGAAAATTCCAAACCCCATTTTGACGCAGATGAGGAGTTTATGAAACAAGTGTGTTGTTTTGCATTTTAAGGCAATTATTCTGTTCTAAAATGTAGGACCCAAAATTAATTTAGCCTTTTGAGTGGGTATAAAATATTCCTTTGTCTGACAAGCTAAGATTTCTGCTTAGAAGAAAATAAATTTCGGCCATTTTTTTCCTTGTTTCTTTCAGAAATTATTTGCTTATTTTTACTGAATAAAACAATAAATGTATATGTTCCACATAAAATTTGAGACAATTTGCATATACAATATACAGGGTTACCCACAAAGGATGAAACTTAAATGGAGACGAACGCTTTTAAAATTTGACGATTTTAATGTTGAATTTGGTGATAATTTGTAGCTAATCAAGTTTTTAAAGTGTATATTAATTTTAAAGATTGTGCACGACAAAAATTATTCAAGTTTGCAGCTGGAGGATACCAGATATTGAAGAGAAAAGTCTGAATACAATTCGTACAGTCGTCGTTGAAGTCTCTACCTTTGTGGATAACCCTGTATAGGAAAGTACGTCTACTCTCAACCCTGATCACCTCTAAGCAAAAATGAATGGTAGCTCTCGGATCAGAATCTGGATAATGTCCACAGTTGAAACTATATCTCCCTGAGTCCTCTAACTCAACCTAAAGATCAGAATCTGGATAATGTCCACAGTTGAAAATATATCTCCCTGAGTCCTCTAACTCAACCTAAAGATCAGAATCTGGATAATGTCCACAATTAAAACTTTATCTCCCTGAGTCCTCTAACTCAACCTAAAGATCAGAATCTGGATAATGTCCACAGTTGAAACTATATCTCCCTGAGTCCTCTAACTCAACCTAAAGAAAACTAATTAAAGGGTCTTTAAGCGTAATTTCAACAGAATCATCATACAAAGATGGCAATGCCCAATTCACAACCGTACCCTGAAAACCTTTGTCTGATCAAGTAAAAATGAAATCAACGTTTATAATTTTGAAAGCTGATTATTTCAACAAAAGTGACTTAAACACGTTTCATTTGAAAAAATTTCTAAAGTTCGTTTTTAGTTAATTGAAGTCTAAAGTGTGTAAATACCTAACTTTGCGTACATCAACAAACTTTTTTTTTAAAAATCAAGCAATTTTAGAAATTCCAGCTTGTCGTTTTTAGAAAATGACAATAATAACCTTATCATTTCTAAAAAAGTCTTAATTTGGTTAAAGTTCAGGATATTTTTGTTATTGCAAAATATTTGTTAACCTTTTAACCCATAGATGTAACATTTAAGCAGTGATACAGTTTTTAAACTCAAAGTATTCTGCAGTGAAAACTTATAAATCAGAAATTTAAGTTTAGTTAAAAACTCAAATCTATTAATGTTCAGGTTTCGACACAGTCTTGCGATGTGTTTTTTTCGATTCCTTTAAATGCGTTCTTGATGCGGGTTAATTCATGACTTTTGATGAATTCACATTTGTACTGAATGACTGAAACTTATTTCAAAAGTTTCCATCCCCTCTGCTTAAACCAACAAATCACGATTACGAGTTAAAAACTAATAAAAACTTTACGTGTTGACAAAAATAACAAAAGCAACTTAAACTTTTAAATTTTAATGCTTTTATAACATGACAAAATGTAAATCTTTGGGACTTAATTTTAGAGGGTTACCCACAAAGGATAAGATTTACAGAACTGTACAGAACTGTACAAAATTGTACATAATTATGCAGAGTTTGTTTAGTCTTCCATCTTACCCTGCAAATGTTAACTTGCTTTTCTTTGTCAAAATCCCCTTTAAACTACATATTATACAGAAACCAATATACTGTCTTCCAATCGTTTAATGTTTGGAGTTATCGGCCGTCTTTAAAGTCTCATCCTTTACGGGTAACCCTGTACGATATGCATAGTTCAAAGATAAACCATTTTTCCTGTAAAACTAAAAATATAATTTAGGTTTTTGAAATCTTGCTTTGAAATACATGAAAACATTTTTTAAACTACAATGGAAAAATGTTTTAATTTTGATTTATTAATTTATTGGATCTTTCAATTTGTTTAGTAAACTTAAACCAACGTATATAAGTTAATTTGAAGTATTGATGATAATATATTCCTAGACTAAGGCCTATAGGAATATATTATCCCAGCGTGCGCTTTCTAGCTCATTACTTAATCTTTCATTATATTTCTTTATTTCAGTGCTTTCAAATAATACTTTCATTTTTCCAGGCTGGACAGCAACAGAAAGAATAAAAAGACTTAGTGGTTGATGAATATGAACACAAAAAAAATTAGCCAGAAATATTGATTCTAAAAATGAAATGCCCCTCAATTGTGGGCACGAACACAGAATGCCCCTGAACTGTAAACACAAAATACAGAATACCCCTGAATTATAGACATAAAATACAGAATGCCCTTGATCTATAGACACAAAATACAGAATGTCCCTGAATTATAGACACAAATACAAAATGCCCCTGAATTATAGACACAAATACAGAATGCCCCTGAATTATAGACACAAAATACAGAATACCGCTGAATTATAGACACAAATATAAAATGCCCCTGAATTATAGACATAAATACAAAATGCCCCTGAATTATAGACACAAATACAAAATGCCCCTGAATTATAGGCATAAATACAAATTGGCCCTAAATTATAAACACAAATACAGAATTGCCTCTGAATTATAGACACAAATACAGAATGCCACTGAAGTATAGACCCAAATACAGAATGCCATTAAATTATAGTCCCAAATACAGAATGCCCCTGAACTATAGACCCAAATACAGAATGCCACTGAATTATAGACACAAATACAGAATACCCGTGAATTTAAAACAAATACTCCAATGCCCCTCTGAAGGAACAAATGGTGGATTTTTGTGGCTAAAAATAATAAGAAATAATATCTTCCAAATGAACCCGGATCTTCTATAAAGTACAACTACATGTACAATGCACAATTTACTCAAGGATTCAGAAAGAATGAGTTTTTTGTTGAGAAAAAAAAAAGTTTTCTTAAAGGGAGTGTCCGCGAAAAATAAGCGTTTTTGATTGCTACTAATCTTACTTCTAGCTGTTGAGTCTGTAAAAACCTACATGTACTAAATAACGTAGCGTCCACCCAAATTGAGAAAGTTATCATCCCATCTGACTCAGATCGTAAAAAAATCAATTTAATTTCAAACAAATCATTTAGATATTACAACCAATAATCATCGATGATTTTTCGACGCATTCGTATATAGATTTTTAATTGTTATGATCTGAGTGTTACTTTTGAAAAAATGAAGACGATATTTTAATATTTTCAGGAATGTTCGAAAAAAGTTGTAAGATAAATATTATTTTAAAAAACAAAATCAAAGATATTAATTATTAAAAATATTAATTTAAAAAAAACAAAATCAAAAATATTATGAAATATCAGCTTTATATGAATGCGTCGAAAAATAATCGATGGCTATAGCTACATTTAAATTCTGTTAGGCCCTGGCTATTTAACCGACAATAAATTGATCCCTCCAGGATCTTAAAAGAAATTGAGATATGAGAGCTCTACGAAATTGGATAAATTGTCACTGAACTGATAAAGCTCACATTTCGATATTAAACAAAGAAATTATGAACAAATTGTTCTCATATTTTTTAATTAATTAATTTCAATAATTTAATCTAAAATTAATTTCAAGATTCAAGATTAATTAAAATTATAATAATTAATAGACATCGCAAATATGATCCTAAGATATAGGTTGTAATATTTGAATGATTTATTTGGAATTAAATTGACTTTTTTACGATCCGAATCATATGTTGTAACTTTCTCTGTTTGGGTGGACGCTACGTTATTCGGAACACGTCGGCTTTAACAATTTTCTCATTATAGACGCAACAAATAGCTAGAAGGAAGATTTGTAGCGATCAAAAGTGCTTATTTTCACCGTAAGCCTGTTCCCCCTGTCATTATTCGCTAACACTACCTTTGCAGGGACTGTTTCCGCCTTTTAAAGTTACCATTTTGATTTTAAAGACAATGACCTTTAAACGTCTCATAGTGATCTTAAAGATTTTAAAGATTAATGATCTGGTAGACTTTAACCAAGCTATATTTATGTATAAATATAAGTTAATATAATCATCAATTTTGTGATTGTAAACTCTATCTGTATACAGATACATTTATTTTAGCAATAAACTTTATCTTATCTTATCTTATCCTATCATACCTTACAGGCTTTAAATAAGAAACATTTATCTCTTTAACTTAAACTGCATTAGATATTGCAAGAAAGGGTTTCTGCAGCAAAAACAATCAAGACAATGAACAACATTTTAAACATTTCAGAAACAAAATTATGAGCTTTGAATAGTTTATATCATTTTTTATTGCGTTAATATTTCTATTTCAATTTGTATTTTTTCTTACATTTTAACCATGAATAAAATAACTTTTTCCAGCCTTCAATATTGTAAGCAATATACTATTAATATTATTAATCTTAGTATTAATCTTAGTATTTTGCTTTATCATCATGCAAATTTGTTAAACCGATTTTAGAGAAACTGTGATATGAATTATAGTTTAAAATGTAGCTTTGTCATTATGTTGCATCAGTAAGGGTCGTTTATAACTCACCAAAGCTGACACGCTAAATCACTGCAAAACAAACCTTTTCCATGAATATTTTTTTCAGTTGAAAATTTTCTTTTAGTTTTAGGGATATCGAACTAGAAATATATAATTAGACATACTGGATATATAATTAGATATATTAGATATATAATTAGATATATTGGATATATAATTAGATATATTGGATATATTATTAGATGTATTGAATATATAATTAGATATATTGGATATATTATTAGATGTATTGAATATATAATTAGATATATTGGATATATAATTAGATATATTGGATATATAACTAGATTTGTAAAATGTTTATTTCATGTTAAGTTGGCGTGCTGCAGTTGTTATGCAAGAATGCATACAATGACGTCATTGTTCACCAGCATTTATTAATTTTCTAGAATATTCATAATTCAGCTGATTTTCAATCAGACCAATGTTGGGGACTATAGTCTGATTAATTAGCTAATTAAATGACAATGAGATAATGAAATGATGATTAACTGATTAGATGATAATTAGCTGATTTAATGATAATTAGCTGATTTAATGATAGTTAGCTGATTAAATGATACTTAGCTGATTAAATGATAATTTTTCGAATTAATAATAATTAGCTGTTTAAATGATCATTGGCTGATTGAATGATAATTAGCTGTTAAAATGATAATTAGCTGATTACATGATAATAAGAATATTCCCAAATCAAATAAAATTTAGCTTAAAAAAATTACTATTATCAGATTTAATGATAATAAGCTGATAAAAAGGCAAACAGCTGATTAAATGACAGCTAACTGATTAACTACAATTAGGTGGTTATATGACGGTTAGCTGATTTAATGATAATTAGCTGATTAAATGATAATCAGTTGATTAAATGATAGTTAGCTGATTGAATGATAATCAGCTGATTAAATGATTAAATTTATTATTTGATAACCAATTGATTGATAATCAACTTACTTATATAAAATATTTACTTGAACTGCAATCTTTATTTCCTGTCAAAATATGCAATTTTATTGTGTGATATTTAACTGTAATTGGGGCTTATTAAGTCAAAGATTTGGTGAGCTTTAAGACAAAAGACAAAGAGAGGGGGAGGGTATAATTAAAAATAAGAAAAGGAAAATTGTAATAAAACGGAAATTTCAGATTCCTTTCCTGTTTTTTTGTATTATTACTATCTTTATTGTTTTATTTATATCTTTATTTGTATTCATATCTATATATTTGTATTCATTTCTTTATATTTGTATTTATATCTTTATATTTGTAATCATATCTTTATATTTGTATTCATTTCTTTATATTTGTATTTATATCTTTATATTTGTATTCATATCTTTATTGTTTTATTTATATCTTTATATTTGTATTAATATCTTTATATTTGTATTTATATCTTTATATTTGTATTTATATCTTTATATTTGTATTCATACCTTTATATTTGTATTCATATCNTACGAGAAGTCGCTGAAAACCCATTAAAATCTTGAATCACCGATTCAAATCCTCATGACATGAGGATATTTTTGAACCAGCGGCAAGTAGTTCAGTGAACTCTCTCAAAATTATTTAATTTCGGTCACTGATCACCATTAGAAATGCATATCCAACAATAAGAATATGATATTGCATACAATACTGGAACTGCTAATATCCAATAAAATTAAATAATTTTCCTAAAACAAAATTTTCTGATCGCATGGAAAACTACATAAAAGGCGTAAACAATTTCGTTTTCGTTTTAGGCCTCGCTGTGAAAGCGCGTAGTTTTGTGCGCGCAAGATGTGAAAGCCAAGCGCGCTTCGACGGATACTGATTGGTATATAAAGCGCGTAAAGACAGCACACACCAAGCAGTTTCAAGCAAACAAGCAAAATGGACAAAACTTTGGTAAGCATGGGAAAAATTAAACTATCAAATGATTTTAAAATTTTTACTTTGAAGAATAAATTTTTATCCTTATTTATTTTTAGTTCATCGCTTTAAATTTAAGTCTTTATATCGAAAATTTTTATCCAAACTTCTTTAGTTCAAACGATGAAATTTTCTTTGGATCCATAAAAACAATTTTTTAGATATCAAGCCCCTTACCGCTTCCCTCCCCCCCCCCTTACCTCTAACTCTTGCTTAAATCAAATGAATTAGAGGAAAGCTTGCTTAAAGGAAATATGTAACGTTTGATGGCTTCTCTTTAATCTTATTTTAAATTGGTCATTTCCAATCCATTAACAGCTCTCCAGACACAAACATTTCCAATCCATTAACAGCACTTCAGACACAAACATTTCCAATCCATTAACAGCACTCCAGACACANCCCCCCCCAATAAAACTGAATAACCAACTTGTTTTGTCTCTGGTGACTCAATGTTTCTCCCAATCAAATAATTGGTTGAGCTTTGATAAGAATTTATTATATTGAACATTTAAGGCTTATCTTAACGAAAGAAAGAACATTGATACTTAGTTACCACAAAAACTTTGCTGTTCTAAATGGTCGTAATTTATAGAGTCGCATGTCTCATGCACCGTTTAAACCATTGTCTGACCAAACATGAATTAGATATCCATGGTTACCCATTAAAAACTGATTATTTTCAATTGTTGTTTCTCTTTGAAAATATCTTGCACATGTCTTCTTCAGAAACAATAGAGGAATTAACGACCACATTATTGTTTGGATAAAGGTATCAAAGGAATCCGTTGTAAATCAAGCATCATGTCCCTCTTTAAATAAAGGTTCACTTGAAAATATGCCAAAAGTCCCTTTAAAATAAATCTTGTCTAGATCTTCCTGTTGATCGCCGCCTGCATCCTGGTGCTCGCCTCCGCCCTCCCCTTCAACGCCGTGGAGAACCCTCATTTCTATAATGGAGATATCGCCAGGAAACCTTACTTTGCTATCCAGGTACTATAAGCCATTACATAAAGGGATTGTTTACTGATTTTAAAATCATGCTGAAGTTCTAGAGAAAAATATAATTTAAATAATTTTTAATAATTTAAAGGCAAAATCGCAATGCACACTGAACTAACCAGAGTGAGAAGCATTCTGTTTCTTTTATTTGAAATCAAACGTGTTTTCGTCTATATTTCAACAATCTTTAAACTTACAGATTTGTTTATTTTACACCTTTTCATTCAAAATGTATATGCCAACAAAAAATATTTCAGATGAAAGGCTAGAAAATTATGCAAAGGGGTCAAATTGTGATCGAAAGTCACAGTTTTCTGAAATATTGACAAAAGCGTTAAATCCACGTGAATAGTTATCATGACAATATTATTATCTACTATTTGAGTGGTTAGGAAAGCTTCTTCCTTTTTAGAGGAAGTTTCTTAGTATTTAAGCAATTTCTTAGTTTTCTCAAAAGTAGTTTTATTTATAGACATTTGTTTATTTGATTTGCCCTAGCTTTATCTTTTCTTTTACGTTTTTGAACTTAACTATTATTTTTTTCATTTCGAACAATTTTGTTCATTTGTGCTTTTAGTGTACTTTTTTTTCTTTATTTTAACAATTTTTGTTCAGGAGCATCTTTGGCCCGGACTAACCAAGAAGGAGTTCAGCCTTGGAGGCAGATAAACTCCTTTCCCTCTTCTCCTTCCCTCATAAACTCATTGACCCCTTCTCACCTATTTTTAAAAACCCCTTCTCCAATAGCTCTTTCGCTCCCTTTTAAACCCCTCTATGATGCAGAAAAATTTCCACAGTTTTGAGCAATATTGTAAAATATTGAAAAATAAAGATTTCTTTTCTGATTTCTTATTTCAATATATAAAAACTAAATGCTTTTAAGGCTTATTAAGGGTGTTATTGAATAATTCAATTTATTGTATCAGTGGTCTTGTTTAGGGTATCATTCATCTTGAATGCTTGATTCTGAGTTTTACAATACAAAAGTACGATAAACTTTTAGCAAATGCTGCTAATTGTTAGCTTCAATTGAACACGTAATATTTATGTAAAATTTAGGTGGACTACCCCACACCACCTACATTGTACAACATTTACTAATGATACAGTCTTGATTTTGAGACCTTTGATATCCCAAAATATGAATTCTGGTGGATCAAATAATCAAGTTTGAACTATAGGAATCAAGAGATATAGAGATTATAAATTAGAGTTTCCAAAAAAGTAGATATTGTGTTAAAAAAAAATTTAAATGGTATAAATATTAAATAACAACAAATACCTTCTTAATATCGACAACAAAGATCTTCGTAATGTAGTCAACAAATACCTTCTGGATGTAGACAACAAATATCTTCTTAATATAGACAACAATACCTTCTTGATATAGACAACAAATATCTTCTTAATGTAGACAACAAATGCAACTAGATGTAGACAACAAATACCTTCTTGTTGTACACAACAAATACCTTCTTGATATAGACAACACATATCTTCTTAATGTAGACAACAAATGCAACTAGATGTAGACAACAAATACCTTCTTGTTGTACACAACAAATACCTTCTTGATATAGACAACACATATCTTCTTAATGTAGACAACAAATGCAAATGGATGTAGACAACAAATACCTTCTTGATGTATACAACAATGTTGTCAATGTTGTCAGTTGTCCTAGAGCAGCCATATTTGAGTTTAGACAACAAATGCCTTCTTTACATAGACAACAAATACCTCCTTAATATCGACAACAAATACCTTCTTGATTTAGACAACAAATATCTTCTTGATGTAGACAACAAATACCTTCTTGATGTAGACAACAAATATCTTCTTGATGTAGACAACAAATACCTTCTTAATATCGGCAACAAATATCTTCGTAATGTAGTCAACAAATACCTTCTGGATGTAGACAACAAATATCTTCTTAATATAGACAACAATACCTTCTTGATATAGACAACAAATATCTTCTTAATGTAGACAACAAATGCAACTAGATGTAGACAACAAATACCTTCTTGTTGTAGACAACACATATCTTCTTAATGTAGACAACAAATGCAACTAGATGTAGACAACAAATACCTTCTTGTTGTACACAACAAATACCTTCTTGATATAGACAACACATATCTTCTTAATGTAGACAACAAATGCAAATGGATGTAGACAACAAATACCTTCTTGATGTATACAACAATGTTGTCAATGTTGTCAGTTGTCCTAGAGCAGCCATATTTGAGTTTAGATCTTGAGTTCTCACAATCCTGCTCCTCTCCGCTTGGATTGAACCTGATATTCAACAGGAGTTGAGTAATCTTAAAAGGACTGTAAGCGTAATTTCGAGTGACCTTCAATGCAATGATGACAATACCCGATTCACAACAATACCCTTGAACCCTAATCTGATCATTAATGTGGCAGAAAAATTCAGTTGTCTTACTCGAAAATCTTGTTTCGCAGAGTAACCGCAAAGGAAAATAAACGGTTAAAAGGAACTAAAACATTGATATCTAATTCATACTTGGTCAAACAAAGCTTTTGAGAGTACCGTTGTAAATCAGGCTTGGTCGTCTTTACATGGAGGCAAATAAACATCACGCTTAGAGTTCCTTTTCCTTTAAATATTTTAATCTTCATAGCTTTGCCACCGGATTGAAACCTTTGAAATTTTACTCTGTAAATTCTTAAAGATTTATAAATCAAAAGTTCACACCCATATCAGTTTGTTAACATGTATGGGTTAGAAAACTTAGGTTCTTTAATGAATTGAGAGGATAGTTAAACTAGATATGAATAGTTCAACTACTTCTATTTCATTTTCCATCCCAACTTGTAGCTGAACCAACAGTATCTTAGATAATCTCTTCATAAATTTCCGACTGATTATTTTTATAAAGCTTACTACAGCCAATGGCAGTGCAGTATACTGATCACGTGATTTTCGTCTGTATCACCTGACAATGATACTGCACTGCCATTGGCTGAAGTTCTGGTGACGTAATACGGACTATACAGACTATATGTAATTATATTATCAATTTTATCTATTAAAAATGCAAAGTAAAAATAAAAAATTATAATAGGAGCAAACCTGAGATTCTCAGGCTCCTATGGGATATCGTCATTTTCAGATTGGTTGCGTATTTGTTAAAAATGATCTGTTTAATACTATAAATTTGCCACAGTTTAATATCCATTTCTCGAGACAGGAACATCAGATAGATGTTTCATATGTATCATTTAGCGCATGAGATTCTCAGGTTTCATCCTATACCCCCTTTCATTTTTCCTTTACAGTTTACAGTCCCTTTGATCCTATACCCCATTTCATTTTTCCTTTACAGTCCCTTTAATCCTATACCCCCTTTCATTTTTCGTTTCAGTTTAAAGTCCCTTTAATCCTATAACCCCTTTCATTTTTCCTTTACAGTCCCTTTAATTCTATACCCCCTTTCATTTTTCATTTACAGTTTACAGTCCCTTTAATCCTATACCCCCTTTCATTTCTCCTTTACAATTCCTTTAATCCTATACCCCCTTTCATTTTTTTTTTTACAGTTTACAGTCCCTTTAATCCTATACCCCCTTTCATGTTTCCTTTACAGTTTACAATCCCTTTAATCCTTTACCCCCTTTCACTTTTCCTTTACAGTCCCTTTAATCCTATACCCCCTTTCATTTTTCCTTTACAGTCCCTTTAATTAATAACTTACCATTTTAACTGGTAGAACACTATAGCATATCAAAATAATGAGCAAAATCGCCAACAAGGGCCCAGGGTGGTAATTATTAACATTAACAGTGCAAGTGAAAAGTAGCCTAAGCTGAAAACTTTAGAATGGGATTAATCAATCTGGAGATTAATAACAAGAGAACAACCATTATGTAATCTCGAGATATAGAAAAAGAGTGGATAAAGCATTAATCCCAATATCCACGTACGCCATTCAAAAGTTTCCAGCTCAGGGAACATTTGATAAACGTTAAACTGATTAATTTGCATTTAAGATTGAAATCTAATATGTTTTCAATCATCTGTGCTCTCCTTGAAAAGCTTTTGAGAGAAACTACAAATTTTTAATCTCTCATATTTAACCGGATAATTTTTTTTCATTATTGTGGGTAGAATCAATTCTAGAGGAGTTATGAGGTCCCTTGCTTCATCCTGTAATTGTCTCATACTTATATCTTTGCAACCAGATGTCGAAGACCTTTAAATTAAAGCTAAATAGTTAGAAATATCAATGGTTTACACATTCAGATTGCAAAGATTTAGAAATTAGAAAATTTAGGCTAAAAGCAAGTGTTCATTTTGTATATACAATTATTTTCTCATATTTTGCTGTCCTGAAGATCTAGTTTGGATCATGCTTAGGTTGACCCTTTCTCCAACCTTGGCAGGTATACGGGCACAGTCATCAACACTAAACAATTCAGGTATTTTACAAATACGGGCACAGTCATCCGGACTAAAAAATTTTATGTGTTTTACAAAAACACGGGCACAGTCATCAACACTAAACAATTTTTTGTGTTTTACAAATACACGGGAACAGTCTTCCAGACTAAACAATTTTATGTGTTTTACAAATACGGGCACAGTCATTCGAACTATACATTGTCAGGTGTTATACAAATACGGACACACACATCCACACTTTAAAATTTCAAGTGTTTTACAAATTAAATTTCCACAATTGATATTAAACATAGAATGATTGAAAATGAAAATTTATAATATCCTAAGATTTAAAAAAAAAAATTAATTTTTCGCAAACAAATGGATATACATTGTTTCCCAAAAAATGTTCGTTTAGGTACTTTTCTGGAGGTAGTTTTTAATGATAAAAATAACATTTATATTTTTACAAATTTTTTATCTTTTTTAATATTTGTTATCGGCTCTTCAAATATTTCAAAACAAAGATGTTAATGCAAAAATAAGTTTGTTTTTTTTACTTTTGACAAACTTATCTCGATAAAAAATATTCAAACAAGTCAATATGGCCAAATTCCAACTGCCATAACTTCCCAAAATTTAGTGCTACAAACTTTCCTCTTGGGCTCCCTTCATAAGAATTTACGTAGATTTTGAAAAATTTAAAAATTGTTATGATCAAACTAACTATGATGAAAGCTTTCATACCTTAAAGGAGTGTTCGCGAAAAATGAAAGGGGGTATAGGCTTAATGCGATAAAAAAGCGCTTTTGATCGCTACTAATCTTACTTCTATCTGTTGTGTCTATATGGAGAAAATTGTTAAAAACGACTCACACCGAAGAACGTAGTGTTCATACAAATTCAGAAAGATGCAACATTCAACTCGGATCGTAAAGAAATCTATTTAATTCCCAACAAATTATCCAGATATTACAAACAATAGTCATCGATTATTTTTCGACGCATTCGTAAATAGTTGATATTTCATAATATTTTGTATTTTTCATGATTTGAGAGTTACATTTTTTCCTGTTTCGAGGATTTTTGATAATGAAGACGACATTTTCATATTTTCCAGGAATGTTCGAAAATCCAGCGCCAGCGAAAATTAATCTAAAAAAACAAAATCAAGAATATTATGAAATATTAACTATATATGAATGCGTCGAAAAATAACCGATTACTATTGTTTGTAATATCTGAATGATTTGTTTGGAATTAAATTGATTTGTTTACGATCCGAGTTGAATGTTGCATCTTTCCGAATTTGTATGGGCGCTGCCTTCTTCCGTGTGAGTCGTTTCTAACAATTTTCTCCTCATAGAAGCAACAGATAGAAGTAAGATTAGTAGCGATCAAAAGCGCTTTTTTATCGCATTAAGCCTATACCCCCTTTCATTTTTCGCGAACACTCCCTTTAAAGAGAGTTTTATAGGACACCCTGTTTTTATGTATGTATGTAAGTATGTTTTTATGTATGTATGTAAGTATTTTTTTATGTATATATGTATGTAAGTATGTTTTTATGTATGTACTAGTACTACTACTACTTCTAGTACTACTACTATATATAAGGGTGTTTGTATGTATGTGAATATTGATGCGCAATTAATCGTAAAGGTGATTTGTTTTTGCCACAAACTCAAATTTTCTCATTCCTATATCTTTGCAACCTAATGGTGTAAATCATTAATTTTCAAACTGAAACTTATTGATCTAAATGAATTTATACTTTGAAATCTCAAAGGTATCGCCACCTGGTTGCAAAGATTAGACAATCAGAGTTTGTGTAAAAAAAATAAAAAATATTTCGAATTAAAATAAACCTTGGATTTTGTTGATTATATTCTTTGTAATTTAGAGAAGGTTTAATTCCTCCTAAATAGTTCATTTTTTGAAATTTTCCTTTTAATAATTGCATTAATATGACTCAAATATAAATACTACCATATATGGTTATACAAAGGTACTGCAGTTCCTCAAGCACAACATCTTTTAGCTTTAGCTTGGAAAATTTTTTAGCAAAGGGCTTTGAAACATTTCAGGAAAAAAATATTTTCCAGATTTTGAAATTGAAAACTATTTTCCTGTTAGACTTTTTTCATCAGAATATCCATTCAGAGTTTCTTCCTGAACCTAATATATATAATTCGTATATATATATATATGTTGCGTATAGCCGGCAACACGGCTGGACCGATTGGGCTAAAATTTTGTGTGGGCACTCATGGGCTGGGGGTGTTAAAGGTTAAAAAAAAATTTGGAAAAAAAAATTCTGCCCAATCGGTCCAGCTGTTTTTTGGGCAGCTATAGGCAACATATATATATATGCGAATGTCTTTTTTTATTATATAGATATGGGTTACAAAAACTAACATTAAGAAGCAACTCGAAATTACAAACATTATGTTTAAAATTCTGAACGGACTGAATTAGGGATATCTCACAACTTTTGGGTTCCATACACTCAGTTCGTTATTTCTAACAATATATTCATTATCTCGGACCAAATTTAATGAATACGAGAAGTCGCTGAAAACCCATTAAAATCTTGAATCACCGATTCAAATCCTCATGACATGAGGATATTTTTGAACCAGCGGCAAGTAGTTCAGTGAACTCTCTCAAAATTATTTAATTTCGGTCACTGATCACCATTAGAAATGCATATGATCTTTGATTTACGTTGTATAGATTAGAATCAATATTTTTACAATTACAGAATCCCTTCCGAAATAACTTAATAGTTACTGTTTTAGGTTATCAAGGTACTTTATTTGATAAATTGACATGAATTCACCATGTTATATTATTAGTTTCATTCGAGTTTGAGGCGGTAAAATTAATGTTTAACTTGTAGCAAAGACGGAAAAACAAAAATTTCGGAGAAAAAACTTAAATAAAAACTTACATTTTTCTCCGAGGTTGCAACATGTCTTAGTAAACAGTACTCCGGCTTCTCAGCTAAAAAAACATCATTTAATTTTTTAATATTTGAGAATACATAAGTCACAGCTAATCTTACAAACAATCGTTGAACCATTCTTATCATGAGCATTTAGTTCTAATATTTTCAATCTGATGGTGTAAACCTTTGATATTTCAATCTGATGGTGTAAACCTTTGATATTTCAATCTGATGGTGTAAACCTTTGATATTTCAATCTGATGGTGTAAACCTTTGATATTTCAATCTGATGGTGTAGACCTTTGATATTTCAAGCTTATTTGATTCTTAAAGAAATCATAGTTTGAAATATCAAAGTTCTACAACGTTTAGAGTTGCATAGGTATAGGGATTAGTAATAGTACAACAGAGTGTGTTGCAAAGGTATAGGGATTAGTAATAGTACAACAGAGTGTGTTGCAAAGGTATAGTACAACAGAGTTTGTTGCAAAGGTATAGGGATTAGAAATAGTACAACAGAGTTTGTGCAAAGGTATAAGGATTAGAAATAGTACAACAGAGTTTGTTGCAAAGATACAATTTCTTTCCATCTTTAGTACATTAAAAGTAAGCTCATAAATTGACTAAAGATGTAATATTATAATTCACAACGGTACCCTTACAAACTGTGTCTGCTCAAGAATGAAATGTACAATTTTCTTTTTGAAAACAGATAATTTTTAAACGTGATTCCTTTTCATAAAAAATTGCCCATTTCATTTTCAGAATCGTTCACTTTTCAAGTTAAAATCAAATAAGATAAAATGTTCAAATAAGATAAAATGTTCAAATAAGATAAAATGTTCAAATAAGATAAAATGTTCAAATAAGATAAGATGTTCAAATAAGATAAAATGTTCAAGGGAACCAATGTGAATCCCATTTAACCAAAAAACCAAGAGCTCTTAAAGGAATTGAGTTTTTGCTATAAACTTAAATTTTCTAATCCCTAAATCTTCGCAACAAGATAGTGCTTAGATATTTCAAACTTAAATTATTTGATCTAAAAGAAATCACAGTTTGAAATATCTAAGCTGTACGTCATTGGGTTACCAAGATATAGGAATTAGATAAACAGAGTTTGTGGCAAAGACTCAATTTCTTTAAACATAATTTGTAATAAAAATATAATTGTACAGACATTTTTATTTTGTGTATATGTATACTGCTTACTTTTCTTATTTATTATAGTTATTTATCATACTTTCAACGACAACCTAACCAATTTGTCTATTAAAGGATATTTCTTTATTTACATTCAATACTTTTGGTGAGATCATTTTTCCCGGAGCTGTCTTTGAAACTATTTTCATATTATTTCTCAGATTAGTTTGGTTTCAGATTAGTTTGGTTTTAGATTAGTTTGGTTCTAGATTAGTTTAGTTTTAGATTAGTTTGGTTTTAAATTAGTTTGGTTTTATATTAGTTTGGTTTCAGATTAAACTGGTTTCGGATTAGTTTGGTTTAAGATTAAACTGGTTTTATATTAGTTTGTTTTCAAATTAGTTTGTTTCTAAATATGTTTGGTTAAACACATAAAGGGACTCATGCAGGGCTAAAGGAATTGAGTCTTAGCCGCAAACTCAAATTTTCTATCCCCTATATGTTTGCAACCTGAAGGTGTAAACCTTATATTATTTGATCTAAGAGAATTCATAGTTTGAGACAACAAAGATATAGGAATTAGAAAATTAGAGTTTATAAATACAGAAATAATAATTGAAACCTCAAAGATCAAATGATCAATGATGATAGTTTCAAGTTGAAAAAGTTAAACTACAGCTTAAGTTTCCACAAAAATGTTGACTATAACAAGAAAAGTTGTAAAAGTGAAAAAGTTAAACTACAGCTTAAGTTTCCACTCCAAAGTCAAAAAAGAACACAAAAATGTTGACTATAACAAGAAAAGTTGTAAAAGTGAAAAAGTTAAACTACAGCTTAAGTTTCCACGCCAAAGTCAAAAAAGAACACAAAAATGCTGACTATAACAAGAAAAGTTGTAAAAGTGAAAAAGTTGAATAGTTTTGTTAGCATTCAAATAATTATGTACAATTTCATATTAATCATTTATGAAAGAACATCTTTTTAAAAATAAAGTGTTAAAAAAGTAGTTTTAAAAAAAAGGAATGTTTGTGATTTTCTGCTAACCTTTAACTTCTATATTAATAGTATAAGAATTGTTTTCTCCCACAGGGTTCAGAACGAAACAGCTGAAATCAAATAATTTGAAAAATTTGATTTGTAAAATAATTAAAAGTTAAATCAAGTTTTCAAGGTTTAAAGAGAAACTGAGTAGTTTGATAATATCTAAATAACAAAATCATTTTTTAAATTAAAATTATATAAATATGGTGTCAAAAGAAATAAAGGTTTTGAAGCCTTATTTCTGAAAAAACGAAACATTCGAATTTTGGTTGTTCTCAAGTTTGTGACGATGTATGCCTAATAAAAAATTTGGTTTCATTATAAAATATTATTGAAACGCAGAAAAAAAATCGCCAATTTCATTTGTTAATCAGGTGGCTCTTCAAAGTCATTTTGGTTCCTCTATAATATGCATATACAGTAGAATTAAAGTTACAAACCGAAATGGATGTTTTATGCCCGACTAAGGTATAAAGGGTAAAAATGATATTACCAAATAAAAATGCCGAATTTTTAATATTATCTTATCTAACCAATAGAATCTGAAAAATCTCCGTTTTTTTGTTGTTAAACAACGCAAGGAGAAAAAATGCCGCAGAAAAGAGAAATATCGTAAAAGACTAAAATTATTAGAAGAAAGAGTCCTGGAACCCTTGTTATATAAGAAAAGTAATACCTGTAGGTCGCGGAGTCGAATTCTGTAATATTCTCCAATACAAGGTCTCGTGTGACATAGTTACTATTGAAACCACACATTTATATATATATTGCATTTTTGCAATAAAAGAACTGAATACTTCTTTTTTATAATCCCTTTCCATTTTCAATATGGTGCAGTGGAGTAAACCTTTAATATTTCAAACTTTGACAATATGATCAATAGGTGATTTCATTGTTTGATATCTCTAAGTTCTACCACTACATAAAGTTGCCGAAAATATAAGAATAAATAAATAGATCTAATTTCTTGCTTCTTTCTCTACTTTTCTAAACCTTATATTTTGCAACAGTTGGTGTCGTTATAGACTTTAGTCATGCAAAACTATTCCTTTTACTATAATCAAGATACTCAAAATTTGAAATACCAGTTTGGAAAATTAGAATTTGAGGCAAGATATCAGTTCCTTTAAAATATTGTAGGTTCTATCTGATTAGCGCAACGATCAAAAACCAGTATCGATAGCAATCGATACAAACTGTATCCTTCAAATCATTTTCGCAACCATTTCATTCAAGAAAATGAAATCTTAAAAAAAGACGAAAGTATTTTAAAGAAAAGTCAAGGATCTTTTTAACAAAGGAATTGAGTTTTTGCCACAAACTCTGATTTTCTAATTTCAATATTGTTGCAACCCTTTACTATTTCAAACTATGAATGCTATTAGATCAAATAATGTAAGTTTGAAATATCAAAGGTTTACATCATAAGGTTGCAAAGATATAGGTTTTACAAAAACTGAATTTGTGGCAAAGACCCAATTCCTTAATCTGCTTTTTCTTTTATATTTTAATTGATCAAACATTGCTTGAACGTTATCAAATCTAATCGTTTTCTAAACATACATTTTCCAGATTGCTTCTGATTCTTTTTTATTTCTTTTATCTCCTATATCCTGTTATTTGTCAAAGTGACAGCTTTCTCTCACTTAATCTACCATCTCGGTGGAGAGAAAGTAGATATTTGTGTGTTCGCGTTATTTCAAGTAAATAAACATATATTTTTATTTTTTAATGATCTTTCATTTTAATCTTCTTCAGCAAAAAAAAAACAATGAAATAACTGCACTCTTTTCACTAGTAACCAGCAAACATTGGAATAACTGTACTCTTTTCAGCAGTAACCAACAAACTATGGAATAACTGTACTCTTTTCAGCAGTGACCAACAAACTATGAAATAATTGTACTCTTTTCAGTAGTAACCAAAAAACTATGGAATAACTGTACTCTTTTCAGTAGTGACCAACAAACTATGGAATAACTGTACTCTTTTCAGAAGTAACCAACAAACTATGGAATAACTGTGCTCTTTTCAGTAGTAACCAACAAAACTCTTTTCAGCAGTAACCAACAAACTATGGAATAACTGTACTCTTTTTCTCTCTTAATAATGAAACACTAAATATATAACACTAAAGGATGTTATAATTTGTAAATAATATAATTTGTGCCTGGATTTATTGATTTCAAGCTGATCTTCTGCCACTTTTTTCTAAAATAAAAAAAAATGTATCAAGTAAATTCAGCCTAAAATCTGACCGTGTCAACCTTGTTGCACCGGCTAGTCCTATTGAGTGTCTGCTTTATTTACCCAATGTCCGGGCGATACAGTACAAACTGGGACCGGAAAGGTTGCCCCGGCTCGGATATTCAAATGTTCTACGGCTTCCCATGTCTTTAAGAATTTCAAATGCATGTTTATCAGTATTCTCTTTCATTCTCGAATTACATTCTCTAATTGGATAATGAGATAGATAGAAAAAAAGATGTTACCACCATAGATTTCTATTGGTCCAGAATAGACACCAAACACATGACTGAACCCTGATTGGATCAGGCGCTAATGGACTCGGCATACAGGAGTGAATGGGGAAACAAAAAGAGAAAAAAGACTTTCAGAGTCAGAAAAACGACCAGGAGGTTTAAAGGGTACCGTTGTTAATCGGATATTGTCATCTTTGCCTGGTGGTAACTTAAGCTAACAGAGCTGGAAATTTTGAATGGTGGATATCAGGATTAATGCTCTTTTTCTTAATCTCGAGATTAAATAATGTTTGTAATCCTCTTGTTATTAATCTCCAGATTAATTAACCGATCGGGATAAAGGATATCCCATTCTAAAGTTTTCAGCTCAGTCCCATAATTTCCACCTGTTTCTTCCAAATAAGCTTAAGGTCATTAGAAGATTCCAGAGTTGCGTTGCAGGATAGTCGTACATGGTTCCCTTCCTGTACATACACTCATTTAAATACATACATTGTACACTATACAACGTAAATGGTTCCCTTCCTGTAAATATACTCATTTAGATATATACACTGTACACTATACAACGTACATGGTTCCCTTCCTGTAAATACACTCATTTAGATATATACACTGTACTCTATACAACGTACATGGTTCCCTTCCTGTAAATAAACTCATTTAGATATATACACTGTACAATGTACATAAACTTACGTACATAAACCTGTTGAGGTGTACATGTTTAATTCCTTTTCTGTACATGGAGTAGAACACAATATAATTTGTAATTGCCTTTGTGTTTCTCATCAAATATTCACATATTCATAACTGTACATGTACAGAGTATATGTCGTCCTCCCATATTTATATATATATATTAATAATACGTACTGCTGTACCTGTACATGTAAAGTTTTGTTTAATAATTGTAGTTGGACTCCATCCGTTAAATTCCAGGCCGTCACAAGAGGAGCAGCTACACCCCTTCTATCTGCTATAATATTATTATTATTATTATAATATTATTAATATTATTATGAATATTATCATTATTATTATTATTATTATTATAATTATTATTATTATAATTATTATTATTATCATTATTATTATTATTATTATTATTATTATTATTATTATTATTATTATTATTATTATTATTATTATTATTATTATTATTATTATTATTATTATTATTATAAAAAATATTATTACTATTAACATTATTATCATTATCATTTTTATTATTATTATTGTATTATAATATATAGACATAGACAGAACACCCCTTAAAGGGAACGTTCATTTATTCGGGTAATTTCAGGGTAAACTATTAGCTATTCAATGGTATTAGTCTTACTTTTCAAGGACAATAGTAGTATTTAATAATTAATTGTAGATATCTATTTTTTTTAAATAATTTTAAATTGTCTATTTTCAAAATATAACTCATTTTAAACATTTGACAGTTAAAATACGTTTTCCTTGCTTCTTTAGAAATCCCCGTGATTTATTGAAGAGTTAGAATAAAGTCGTCTTTGTACAAACGTGTTAATCTTTTAAATCATCGTTAATTTCTTGCTAATTCTAAAATCAAAAGTTTTATATTTTATTATATCATAGCTGAAAAATGATGTCATTGGAATATGATAATTTTAGATTTTATTGGGCTGTTGTTAATGAAAAAAAAACGTTTAAATAGTGTCTTTGGTATAATAGCTTTTCACTGGAATTCTAAGCGTTAAATCGTCTTGTTCTCCGGTCATAGATATCTTTAAAAAGTAAGAATAATACCAATGAATAGCTAATATGCTAATTAGTTTACCATAAAATTACCCAAATAACTGAACTGTCCCTTTAAGCATGTTAAAGAGAAAAGCGCCGACAAAGACAAGAATATTTTTTAATTCCCAAATATAAATTTTACCTCAAATATATTTGTGACGTCACAGGGTATGCGTAAAGAATAAATAATAAGCATGGAAACGACTTTTCATAAATTAAAAATATGAAACAATCTTAATTTTTTTTATTTTTCATATCTTTTTTTAAATGCGCAAAGAAAGAAATCATTTGATGAATGGATATATTTACATTTTTTTTATTTACAATAATGTCAAGCTCTTTTTGCAAACTTTCTGTTGTTTCTTTCTTTGCTACGAGACTATTGCTACCATATTTACCGAATAACTGAATGACATTTTTTTTAAAGTTTTAGAAATGGCACATTAAAATACCGTTTCAAAATTTTTTCAGATAAAATATGAAATTCCATCTAAAGAAACTGAGTCTTTGCCACACACTCAGATTTTCTCATTTCTATATCTCTGCAACCTGATGGTAAAAACCTCTATTCATGGAGAATTCATAGTTTGAAATATCCAAAGTCTACGACATTAGGTTACAAAGATATAAGAATCATAAAATCAGATTTTGTGGCAAAATTTTCTATAGTGCAAGTATGGTGCATGAATTGTGAACAAAGTGCTAAAAGTGCTAATTACCACAACTGTACATTCCAGAATAATCTATTAGAATTCAAATCAGCAAATCTTGAGTCTGTTTGGGATTATTCAGTTTCTTTGGGATTCTTTAAAGGTAGTTTTGGGATTATGGTTTAAACAATTTCAAGTGATCCTCCAAGGTACTAATGCAAGGAAAGTTAATTGCGGTCACGTACATATTGAAACCAGTTCTCTCTCGGCGTAATTTTTAAACAAGAAAAGATGTATCAGTGTTCGTTTAGTTTCCGAGAAGGTTAAAAGCATTGAATTTTGATAATTTTGATAATTCACATAAAATTTTCCTATGAACAGAATATTTCATAGATTATTTTTGTGAAAATCGATTCCATGTCAAGCTGTAACATCCGTCTTGTGTTTACTTTTCCGCACAAAGACAGTACTCTGCAGTACAAAAAATGTGTACACCTCTGAAATATCTTTCCTTGCATTAGTACCTTGGCTTTTGCCATCTTTTTCTGATGAATAAGGTCAAAGATATTGTCGTTTTACTGGCTTGAAAAGTGTTCAATCTGATGATTTACTTCACTGCTTCTTCAGCAGAAATGCGCAAGTCACCATTAAACATAATTGATTTTTTAAAACGAATTCCATCAATAAACATACAAACATTCTTGGTCAGAAAAATATTTCAAGGGTTCCTTTGTGAATCGGATAAGACACGATCAGAGTCCAACATTAATGAATTAGAGCCGCGTCTCAAATTCCCCAAATCTCAAATCAATTGAGCGCCGGCTTAAATTTAACACGCGGCTCAAATATGGTTGGTTCCACTTAAAATTGTATTCAATTTCAAGATTTAAGCCGGGGCTCAATTGAGTCCGGTTTATGGCGGATTTAAGACCTGGCTCAAATTCATTAAATTCGGACTCAGGGTATTTTAAATTACGACTACAAATCCTTTAAGATCTACTGGATGAAACTATTCTGTCCAAAATAATAATTATTTGCTAGATTTTGATGCGTGAACTTAATCTGAAACATTAAAAAACATGCATAGAAACCCCTAATAGATGTTAGAAGAATAAATATACTAATAAAATAAACTGAAATAGTGCAACTAATGGGAATTTTTAAATAGTTTCCGAGTTAAACTTTGTGATTTAACTAGCTCTATGGTGGGGAACTAAACCCCTTAAATTTAGGAGATTATTTTGTAATCGGATTAACTGATCTCTCAATGGTTAGAGGTCAAAACTGGTGTTTACTGTAGAACTTTGTTTACTATTTTTTTCATCGTTATTTAATAATTTTAAAAAACAATTCTGAAAACGTATCCACCCAAAAGTACGATTTGAACGTCGACTTTGCGCTCAAACTTAGAATTTACAGATCTTTAAAAAGTGTTGTATGTCTCAAATGAATCCTAAAGCATTTTTCCACAACACTGCATACTCATTTTAACTACTTTACATTAAACGTTTGCATGGTTGATATCTAGTTCAGTCTATGTAGCTTAGCGCCATTTAAGTCAAAAGTTTTAACCCCAGGACTTTTATCCTTCAACCAATGAGAGATTAATTAATCTCTCCGGATTAATTTAACTTTGATCCTTCAACCAATGAGAGATGAATTAATCTCTCCGGATTAATATAACTTTGATCCTTCAACCAATGAGAGATTAATTAATCTCTCCGGATTAATGTAACTTTGATCCGATTTAAAGGTATGGTTCTGTTCATTTAAAAATTCCCAGGTCAGAGTGATTTTACTTTTTTATTTAGAGTTGAAAACTTACGTGGTATGTCTGTAATAAAAGTTAAGATATTAATATAATTCTCTAATAGATTTTGTAGATGCATGTCAGGCCTCTTCTTAAGCCATACAAGCCCGTTATAAGGTTAGGTACACCCTTTCGTAATAACTAGAAAGCTACGGCATAATGGTCGTTTTTTAATTAAATTGAATTTAATAAGGAACATCGTTGATGATTTTGCAAATAACGGATATATTGCTCACACAGAAATATATCCGAAACAAATTATAAAAACCATATCGTACCGGGGAATTAAGATAAAAAAGAAGATGGCAATAATTTCAGTGTTTTTTTAGGTACTGCTCTGTCTGTGTATTTCTAGGTACTGCTCTGTCTTTGTATTTCTAGTTACTGCTCTGTCTGTGTATTTCTTGCTACTGCTCTGTCTGTGTATTTCTAGTTACTGCTCTGTCTTTGTATTTCTAGTTACTGCTCTGTCTGTGTATTTCTAGTTACTGCTCTGTCTGTGTATTTCTAGATACTACTCTGTCTGTGTATTTCAAGTTACTGCTCTGTCTGTGTATTTCTAGTTACTGCTCTGTCTGTGTATTTCTAGTTACTGCTCTGTCTGTGTATTTCTAGTTACTGCTCTGTCTGTGAATTTCTTTGTAACTCTGTGCACTGGAAGTATGTGTTAATAAAAATCTGAATTAAATTTGTTTTTTTTGATCAAAAGTGACAATAACATCAAATAAAAAACACTCCCAAGGCCAGAGGGTTCTTAGACATTTAAGTATTAATCCTTTTTTTAAAGTTGAAATTGGTAAAAATATACTTACGCAGAACTTGGATATTGACAAGCTGGCTTTGCTCTCTTAATCCCTTACTGAACCATACCAAATTGTATTAAAAAAACTAATTTTTTGAATTTCTTTTTTTTTCAAAGAGAAAAAGTTATTGTTTGTCTAGATCGTGTATCCTTAAAGGAATTGAGTCGGTTCCACTATTTTTATATTTTAAAATCCCGCACTATCCACTCTAAACCCCACAATTTTATCGGTCAGTTTATGGCCGATTACTGCAGTATCTACAATCAGCTTAGTTTAGAGTTCCCAGTATTTTTCCATCCTGATGGCGTAACCCTTTAATATTTCAAGCGAAAGACACAGGGATTCAAAAATCTGAGAGCTTAGTTTCTATAAAATTTATCAAAAAATTTAATTCAAAGAAAAAACTGTTTGTTAGTGAAACAAAGCAAGCAATTAATAAAAATGTTTTATTTTTAAAACTTTCTTATTTCAAAATTAAAAGTTACTTTCAGCTGTTATAACCAGCTTTCCATTTAGAAACAATCGTTTTGGGGGAACTAACTATTTACATAACATTATAATATTATATTTTCTATTTCAATATTTAATTAATTAATAAGTAAGTCTCTTTAACCCTAAAAAGTTTGATGGGACTAAATATTTACAAAGCATAATGATATTAATTTTTAAAGTTTTCTTTTCCAATTTTCAATATGGCGTCCCTGTTGTAAAAACATCTGTAAATATGATATCCAGCCGACACATTCTTCGATTTAAACCCAACTCTGGGGTCAAACTCAAGACCAGTTATTTTCTAAAAAGAAAAAATTATTTTTTTTAATGAAAATATGAATGTTTTTCAAAGATGATTTGTTTAAAATCAAATTTATATATTTATATATTCCGAAGTACCATACCAATTTTGCCTACAAAACATCCAGAGCGCATGGAAGGATGTTTTTAAGAGCCTTTCTCTATATCGTACATAAAAAATAAAAAAAACGGCGGATATTTGTGTTTTCTCTCAGTGGAAGTGGTAAAAATATAAATCCAACGTTTCCAAAAGCAAAACTTCTAAAGGTTGATTGGCCATAAGCTCGGGCCTGATCAGTTCAGCCTTTATACCTATATTCACGTAGATTTAACAGTTTGGTTCTTGTCTCAGCAAGCTATGACTTTCGATTACAATTTGACAAATTTAACACTTTTAGGGATCCAGCCTGTTTAGTCTAGAGGGTGTATTTTATACAAATAACCCAATAGACTTATATACTATACCAAGAAAAATGTATGAAATAAAGAAAAATCTATTATTATGTTGGGCCTGAAAGGATATAAAAGTGTAAAAAATAAACAATAACGATAATATAAATATATAAATATATATATTATTGACAGCAGAAAGGTTAAAAGCATATTGTTATTTGCTGACAGCAGAAAGGAAATATTATTTGTATATTTTCTTTATTTATAGACTGCAATACAAACTTTCATTCCCCCTTTGTAATCCAAATTGACTTTTTTCATCCTTATACATTATCATTTATCTTGTCTATTTGTTTGTATTAAAAATATCAATCGGGCCCTAATTTACCTAGCGATGGTGTATTGCAAGTCTCTATTAAAACTATTAAATCCGTGACCAAAATATATTTTTAGAAAAAAGCACGGAAGCGCTCTTTAAGCCTGTGTTATTAAGTTAACGTTCCTGTTTTATAGGACGCTAGATTGGTGTAAAAACGGTTCAACCGATTGGGCACACATTTTGTGTGGGAGCTCGCATGACCCCAGGGACGATTTTTGGATGATCTGAAATTCTAAAATTTGCCTCAGAAAAAATGGTTTTCAAGAAAAAATTAAAATTTTCGAAAAAAATATTTTAAAATCCGCAAACTTTTTTGTTTATTGTTTTACGATGTTTACAAAGAGAAAATGTTCACAGATAGATCAAAAACATGAAGTTGAAGTAAAAGATGGGCGCAAAGCACCAGGAAAGTCTAATATTATATAAAGGTGGGCGCAAAGCACCAGGTAAGTCTAGTATTATATAAAGATGGGCGCAAAGCACCAGGTAAGTCCAGTATTATATAAAGATGGGCGCAAAGCACCAGGTAAGTCTAGTATTATATAAAGGTGGAAAGAATATACTTGAGATGTGAGAGTATGAATATTATATAAAAACCCAAATCTCTTGTCAACATTTTGCTGATCCGTGGGATCTATCCTGGTCACCGTTATTGCTTCATTCAGCTTTCTTCTATCTTATAAATAATCCTTTCTCTAGGGTTGAGTTTTATCATTTATTAGTTTTTAATTTAGGTTTTTTTCTAAATAAGGGACCTTTCACCTTTCACTTTCAAGCAAGCTTTATTTTTACAAAAAAAACCTGAAACCTGCGACCATAGGTTTTCTAGTAACTATTATAATTTGAATTAAAGAAATCCTTGATAAAATAAAAATTAAAAAAATGAACTATATCAATTAATTCAACATTAAAAATTTAAAATTATGAATTATGACATGATAGTATATGCAAATGATAAAAAGTAATTATAAAAAATTTATATCTAGATATTTTTTTCAATTATTGAATTTACCTCATGAGGGGAAGAGAACAGAGTAAGGGAAACTTCAATTGTCGGAGATGTTGGCCTAAACAATATTCTAAATACCTTAAAAATCAAGTATGCCAAGCAAAGATTGAAATCTTTTATAAAAGAGCAATTAAAAAAAAGTTTTTAAATTTCCAAACAAAGGAATTGAGTCTTTGCCACAAACTCTGATTTTCTTATCATTATATCTTTGGAACCAAATGTTGCATACCTTAGATATTTCAAACTATGAATTCTGTTAGATCAAGTAATCTGAGTTTGAAATATCAAAGGTTTACAACATCGAGGTTTAAAGATATTGTGGTTTAAATATTTGATTTTTTTCCCAAAGACTCAATTCCTTTGCCTTTTTTATACTAGAGGAGCTACAAGGGCACTGGACGCGCTGGACAGCTTTCCCAGTTAAAGGCGCTAAGCCTCGATTTAAAAGTTTATGCCGTGGATATCTAGAAGCTAAGCGCTATCCAAATCAAAAGTTTTGCCCTTATTTTTCTGAAAACATTTTTGGCTGAAGGCAATAAATCAAATTTAGATTCATTGGGCCAAAATGTTTGAAAGATGAATACAGCTCACGTGAAATCTGGAATCTGTTCAAATTTACACAATTTATCAATTTCTAGTGTTTGTTTTGATTAGGCTGCAATTTCACGGGGATTCTTCGAATGACAAGGGTGACTTAAAAAACAAAAATGAAAACAAAATTTTTGATAAAAAGTTTTATAGATTAGAATTTTATAAACATGGTCATTTAAAATATATAATATAAAAAAATATGTATTGTATACTTCTTATTTGTAATATCTTAAAATAATAAAAATATATATTAATCAATTTTATTTGAATATGTAAGACGCAAATTTTCGGATGAAACTTTTACGTTCTGGTAGGTTCGACATGGGGTAAATGAGAAAATTTAAAACTTTCCCCTCGTATAAAGTGTTTTTAAATGTATAAACAAACTGAGAATGAGCATAATTGGCCATAGCTGCAGAAAAAATGTGAAATTAGATTGTTAAATCTGAAGTTTAGGTGAATTGTATACTGCAACAGAATTGAATGTACATAAATTCAAAGATCGTTTTAATAGTAGAAGATATCGCAAATTAGGAATTAATTTACCAAAATAATAAAGTTATGCATTTCATAATGGCAAATTACGTAAAAAACGTTTTTGGTGAAAGATATGCTATAAAAGTCCTAAAATCTTTTCAAATTATAGAAAAGACGACATTCAGTGGCTTCTTAAATAAACCAATTGAGGCGTCAGGTTTTGCGTATAAATCCCAATACCTACTGTTTATACTAAGAAGATCTTTGCATAAATTGAGTTTCTAAAGTGTACAGTAAGGGTGCTAAATATTGTACTTGAGCCAGCAGCCAACCGTCCATGCGGTTGCAAGTAGACGATTTGATATTGGGGAAGGCCCCCCAAAAAAAGTATTTTAAAAATTGTCATGTTTTTCGGAAATTTAATTCTGAATTTAAATCTGAAAAGTGTTTTAAAAAAATTAAAATTAAATGAGTTATTGCTAGAAAACTCATCAAAAACATCAAAAAGTTAATAATCGGATTTTTGGACCATTATTTTTCTTATAACTTTTTAAATTTTTAATATAATTAAAAATAGTTTTCGAATCTGAATTCAGAATAAAATATCTAAGAAATTAAAATATATTTTTTGAGGGGCCATACAGAGATTCAGAAGGATTAAATAAGATAAATTTTGATTGAAATACTTTTTTAATGATAAAATGCACCGTCTCCAGTAGGCGGTTAGCTGATTTCTAAGAAAAAGTCACAAATCAATCACCTTAGTGCACTGGTTGTATTACCTGCAAGGGATGTTCAAATCAGTTCTCTCCAAATATTTAAAGAATCTGATGTACTCGTCTTGTACTACCATCTTTGTACTCCCTATAACAGTGTATCGTTGAGTACAAATACACGGCCCATCTTCTCCCATTTTAAGGTTAACAATCACGTTATTTTGACGTACAAATATTCCATATACCACTTTTAATCACGTAATGATTTGGCTATTTGTTGTACCTTTGGTAAAGTTACAAAAGTACATAATAATGTACTTCTCAATTGTACCACTATATTTGTACCGTTTTTATACTTCTTAAAATAAGATGCTAGCAAAAAACTTCCATATAATTTTCTAACTTACCATTAACAAAAACATACTGACTGGTTGTTTGTGTTTCTTCTCCCTGCAATTGTTTTAGTCATGTACTGCATGTACATTCTTATTGTTCCAGTCATTTACTGCATGTACATTCTTTCTTTCTGGTCAAAAAAGTCTTATTGTTTCTTTTTTGATAATTCAACTATTTCTAAATTCATTAAAAATGTTTTTAAAAATTGGACAGTTGAAAAACTTTGTAATATAATTAACATACAAAAAAAACTTTTGGGACTTTTCTGTTTATTTCTTGGCTGTACTGTACTGTACTGTACTGTCCTGAGTAGTGAAGTTGCAGAAGTAGTTTCCAACGTGTTGATCCGTTATGTTGTACATATGTACAATCAGCCTGTTTTCCTTAATAAATGTGAAGTCAAATTAATTTCGGACAAAAAAATACTTGATAAGATCTTATACCACAGCTATTTTATTCATTTCTTTTTCTATAATTCAACATTTATTGTATAAAGGTTGGTTGAGTGTTCTGTGTGGGATCATTTAATGATTGTTTTACTCAATAAATAAACTGTATTTACTTTCATCAGTTTGGTTCAATAGCATGAATGCTTTCTCACTCATTTGCTTCGAAAAACGTAAGTATTCTTATTTGGTCAATGGGCAACCTTGGTTTTCAATTTTAACAAAAATCAATAATATTTTAAGCTCATTCAAGTTTTCTCCAAGATTTCTTATTGGAAATATGCTTCTAATTCAATAGTTATCATAAATTTTTCATAATATATTAAAAACTAGATGAATTTTATGTTTTTGTCTTTTTCTTGTCCAAGGAGTCAATATCAAAGATTTTGTTTACTTTCATTACCTCAATATATTCCTCAAACTCGGGATCCTAAAATATAAACATTGGATAAAAAGGAAAAATACCGATTTCTTAAATCTGAAATAAGTTCTTAATATAAGAATTTTCAATCTAGTAACCTTTCGAGATTTAGTTGAAAATATGTCCGCATCTGAATCCCAGGAAATGACGACATTTCTCTCTGTCTCTTCAAAATTATCCTCAGCTTTTTTCTTTTTCAGCAGTTTCCGCTTCAGCTCTTTCTTCTCAACTAATTCTTCTTGCGAAACCTCTTCAGCGAATTTCAACTGGCGCTTTTCAACCTTTATTTGCTGATTCCGCTCAGATTGCGTCAGCTGACTTCGTTCTGATTGTGTCAGCTGACTTTGCTCTGACTGCGTCAGCTGATTTTCCTCTGATTGCTCTGACAGCTTTTCTAAGAGTTTTGAGGAATCACAAACCAGTGTAAATGACCCTCCGAACCCCGCTACATAATATCCTGCAAACAGTAAACTGTAATCACTATTGTTGCATGATCCAAACCAGTAAAACGCAATTACCCCTAGTGCCCAGTTTAGTGTACTCGTACTGTATAATGATGCATTTATCGGTGCCAGTACCTGTCAGGCTGTCATGACCTGAACCGATAGGAGTATTTACCGGTCTTGTACAATAAATGCATTTACTGGAAATAAGGTTAGGACTAGTGTGTCAAGTATGTAGCCAACCCAGAACATTTTATGCACGAAAAATAAGCTGGTTGGATTGGTGTGAGCTTCTAACTCAGTCCTTCTATACTTTAGCAACATACTTTTCTCAAATCGTTCAAATCGCTTGATCGTTTTAGACATTATATACGTAGATATTCCCTAGTTTTTTTCGTCTTTTCAAAACAATAAAAAAGTTCAGAATTGTTTACTAAATGTTGTTTATTTATTTTAAACCAGTTTCTGAGCATTCCAAATATGTTACCGTAAAATGTACATAATTTTTAACCTCCCCCCCCCCTCTCTTACAATACATACATGCAATTCCTAACCATACACCGTACCCTACCCCCTTACATACATGCAATTCCTAACCATACACAGTACCCCCTCCCCCCTTTTCATGCATGCAATTCCTAAACAATAGTGTTTTAAATTGAAATTAATCTAAATTACTCCTGAATTGCGTAAATTGTTGCTAAAGATATGTTTTAATAATGTACAGGGTTGCCCACAAAGGATGAGACTTCAGAGACGATTGTACGGAATTTGTTAAGTCGGTTTTCTTGCATTTAGAGTTCCTTGTTGGCCAAAAATGGCGTATGGCTTAATCATTTAGTAATCCATCTTAATACTCAAATAAATGCAGAAACCAAAAATCAAGCTTCAAATCGACATATTTTAAAGTTTTGGGTCGTTTTCACAGTATCATCCTTTGATGGTAACCCTGTATACTCTCTCTCTCTCTCTCTCTCTCTCTCTCTGAATGTGTACACATATCATCAAAACAAACAAATCTTATCTTTCCCCGTCGATATGTTTAAAAAATATGCATACATACGCAGTTATGACCTCTCAATTATATTACATTATTAAAGAATTTCGTAGATTTCCCTTCAGACGTACACAATTCAAATGATTTATATTGTCTTTTCGTGATTTGTGAAATTGTGACGCACCAAAAAAATAATCTTCTAAATGGCCATCGCTCTGTATAATGTATATTTTTTACAATAAAACAATTTTCTTTTTTCTATTCTTAGCTTGACTGGGCTAGAAATAGAAACAGATCCAGAAAAAATAAACACCCTCTGTATTTAATATGTACAATATATACAATTACAAGTAAAAACGGGTTCGCATAAAGAAAACAATTCTATCTAATAAAGTATTTAAAAAGAATCCTATGAATTAAAACCACCAGAAAAAAATCTAAGTCCTCTAAATAATGTTAATAGTGATATTCTCTTTTTGAAAAAGGTTTTTTTTGTCATCAAAGCTGCATAAAAAAATAATCATAAGAAGAAAAAGATTAGAAAAAGTGTAAAAAAATTGCGCAGGAAAAAAGTACATTTGTACACTAGTACAATGTATGATGTACTGTAGTTCTATAGCACTGCAGAAACATGATCAAACAGGGGTTATTTTGTTTCACATAAACCTTTTAAATAATAATTTATTTAAGGGGGAGACCTCGTAGTTTCTAAAAATCTACAATTAATCTGTTTTACATTATATTGTAAAAAAATGTTCGTTTTTCAGTGGACTGTAAAATTACCTAATGATTAATAATAATTTTTTTCCCATCACTTTATTATAAAATTATTTTCTGTAAACAATTCTATGACCTTTTTTCCTGTGACTTTATAGGTAATAATGATTAGGACTTTTTTCTGAAAATTTTTTTATCGTGACTGAAATACATGTTATTGAAAAATCTACACAGGCAAAAATGGACTCACACAAAGAAATTATGTCGAAACAGAATAAAATTATTAAAGATCCATTTTTCTTTACAAATAATTGCAAGAGAAAAGGAGCAAAGAAACGTCCCGGACACACACTTTATCCATCCAATTTTGAATCCGGAAATTTGTGTAAAGTATGTTTTGTGTACACACAACGGGCAAAGGTTATTATAACAAAATATTTAATAATAAACTAGATAACGTTCCTTTCTAGACAAACTCTACAGTTGCCTCAATGTCAACATAGGATTAAGCTCACACTCTCACTCACTCACTCACTCAATCACTCACTCACTCCCTCACTCACAAGCTCACTCACTCACTCACTAACACTCTAATTTCACATAATAAAACTTATATGGTTTAAACTACTCTTATTGGAGACCTGTTCAGAAGAACTCAAATGTTCTGAAATTCTAATATGTAAATTATAAATCTCTATATTTTTTAAACCTAAAGGTGTAAATCTTTGATATTTTAAACATAGGTTATTCAATATATGATATGTGTAGTAAATGCCGTACTATTAAAACTTCGTCCAGAACTGTACAGGTACAGTCTGTTAGCTATAAATGTCAACTAGGACACAAAGTCTTCAGCAATCAATGTCAAACCAGTGGACACGATCTTATTGGCTCTGAAAGTCACACAGGGACACAAGCATAGCTATCAAACAAGCTCTTAATCGATCAATACCAAACCAATGGGCACGATCTTATCGGCTCTGAAAGTCAATATGGACACAAGCATAGCTATCAAACAAGCTCTTAAGCGATAAATGCCAAGCCAATGGGCACGATCTCATCGGCTCTGAATGCCACAAAGGGACACAAGCGAAGCTATCAAACAAGCACTTAATTTTATCAATGCCAAATCTCAAGGCACAATCTCAGCTTGTATGTTTCAACGAGGACTAAATTACTTCTAATGTTTTAATCAAAGCAAAGAGTCTTAACCAACTAATTTGAATTTACAAATATATCTTACATGTTAAGTTTTTATACATATTTACAATATATGTGCAGGTATATATAATCGTAGTTAAGCTAATCACAATACGTAGCTAGTATACAATGTACAACGCAATTTATAAAGGTTTGTTTAAACTGTATTTATTACATATATAATACAGTAAGAAAGGCCTACGACATCATGGGTTGACAAACTGTAAGGATTATAGAATTACGCGAGTGTTCAATTTCTTCATTAAATTTCTCATTACTATTAATCATGATATTTTAGCAGGAATGATGCCAATGACGTCAGAGGGAGAGTTTATGTTTACAATAACCCCAAAATATTTCTATGAACTTACTCTCGTAACCTTTTTCGATCATTCTGGTGTTTCTAAAGATAATAATTAAATGATTCTGCATTGAAAAAAGATGTAATATGTCTTCGTTAAAAGGTTAAATGGCGAGTCTTTACTCGTATGTTTCTCCCACTACAAGTAGTTCTTTTTGGTATGCGTTATACAATTTCTATAGGTACAGGGTGTCCCACGAAACATTACAGTTGGTAAATAGTTTTGAATGTTGTTTTCCATACACTGTAAATTAGATATTAAAGGCTGTTTGCAGTTTATTTCGTTTAAAAATCTTTTGCTCAAGTTTACTTTGAAATTAATTTTACTATAATAAGACTCGTAAATAATATTTTATTATTAACTTAACAAATTATAAATTATTTACCAACTGTTATGTTTCGTGGGACACCCTGTATATAACTGTAACTGTAAATAACTGTACCGGACTAACTTGTAAGCAAGTTGTACTGTATAAATGCAAATTTGGACAGTACATTAAATGAATCGTCTCCTTATAGAAAGATTATTGTGATAAGGTTGATATCGCCTTTTTTAATGGCATTTGACGGAGTTTATAATAAAGCCCGAACATGCTCAGCCTTAATAGTTCTCAACAATTACGATATTAAAACAATGCTAATCAAATTAAAAGAAAACAATGAAGTTAAACCCTGATAAACAGTGTTCCCGCAAAGGATGAGACTGCAGAGACGACTGCGCGGTAATTATTTTGTTTTTATTCTTAGTTTTATAGTCCCCCACGCACCTTTCTGCCCCTTTAGTAAAAGTAAATTCAATCTATATGAAGCATAAAGTCTGACCGCGTCAACCTTGTTGTACCGGTTAATCCTGTCCATAGAGCTAGGTACAGTACAAACTGGGACCGGAAAGGTTGACCCGGCTCGGAAATTCAAATGTTCTACCGCTGTTAGTTAATTTCTTTCTTTGTCCATTCAATTCCTTAGTCATTTATAAACTTTTATTAGCTTTAAACTCGGAAAGTCGCCATTTCTTATCATTCTTAAATTTTCACAGATTTTTATTTTTAAACAGACAAACAGACAATACAAGAATGTATAAACGAAGGCAGAAAACCTAAGCTCATTTTTTAAATCATTAAATTACGAAGATTTACAGGTCGTGATTAAAGTATCATTCTTCGTTGGTAGCTCTGTAAATAATTTATGTTTACAATTGTATTTTAGGCCATGGAAGAGATAAAAAGTGCATTATAGAATACAAATCATAAAATATATAATGTTTACTTACAAATCATTGGAATCTTTTAGATTTCAAACTTCAACACGTTTTTTTCTGAAATGTTTAATTATTTAACTATTTAACTATTGAACTATTCAACTATTTAACTATTTAACTATTTAACTATTTAACTATTTAACTATTTAACTATTTGAAACTAAAACCGAACTATTGGTTTATTAAATGGGTCTGTCTATTGTCAAGTAATTGCATGCTAGTTTCAAAACAGCCCCTTAAAACTGGAATGGAAGGTGTGAAATTATGAAATAAATGGAAGGAAGGAATGTAAGGAGTAAATGGAAGGAATGAATGGAAGAAATGAAGAGAAGGAAAGAATGGAAGGAGTAAATGGAAGGAATGAATGGAAGAAATGAAGAAAAGGAGAGAATGGAAGGAATGCGTGACAGAAGTGAATAGAAGGAATGAATGCAAGGAAGGAATGGAAGGAATGGATGAAAGGAGTGAATAGACGAAGTAA